GGTAGGAGAGAGCTGTAGACTGTTCCCTGGACATCAGATGGGAAGTGATTGAACCCTGCTTCCCTAAACGATAGCATGAAGTCAAAAACCAACTTCCTTCTCCCCTACCAAAAACGCTCTCTTTATCTCCTGAATAATACTTACTGTAGGGCTATCTCCCAGAATTTTTCCAGAAGACAAAGGAATCTTGAGATTTTGTGGATGACAAGGGATGCTTACAAAGGAATTTATATTCACTGAAAGAAAGCAACCCGCCCTGGTATTTGCCCACGATTTTGGGAAGTCATTCACCCACACACCCTACTGTGTCAAACGAAGCTGCACCAACACACGCATCATAGATGTACGTGTTTACTTGTGCTCCTTTGAACACACACGTAGCTTTCTTTCTCGTCTCTCAAGACTGTTTACTGTGGTTGACTTCAGAGTTCAAGTTCTGACCAAAGATATTTAGAATTAGGCCTGACTGCAAGTACATCTCGCATTCTTATTTCTAACTAGCAGCCCTCTATTTTTAAATTCTCCTGACCTACGCTTTCTAAAACTATAACCATAATGGTTAATGAAGCTGGGACTTCCCTCCTTCCCCACAGAACAGTTCCTAGTTCTTGGGACTCTTCCAGTAGACTTCAGGAGCTGTTTCTGAGCGCCCAGTGTGGTGGGAACTTTCTCAGAGGTGCTGTGTATCAGACATATCTCTCATCAGTTCTCCTATTGACAGCACCCATTCTGTTTTCTAGAACATAAACCCACATTTACATTTCTTTTTTTTAAATATTTATTCATTTATTATGCATTCAATATCTGCCTGCAGGTCAGGGAGGGCACCAGATCTCATTACAGATGGTTGTGAGCCACCATATGGTTGCTGGGAATTGAACTCAAGACCTTTGGAAAAGCAGGCATTGCTCTTAACCACTGAGTCATCTCTCCAGCCCCTGACATTTCTTGATTATATATCTTGGTTGCTGCATTGAGAAACCTCATTAAAGACTGGTTCCCAAACATGTGAGCAGCAGAGAAGAATTCTGGTTTCAAGCAGGCCCTTGGAAGAAGGGAAGTTGATGTCATTTTTGCGTGTTTGGTGGCTCCTGAAGAATCTTCTCTAACTTTCATCAGGTGTCCTTTCTTACTTAGGTCACAGGAACCAATAACTGGCCTTTCGGCCCCGAGGTAACATTTAAGGGAAGAAGTTCTACAGTATGATCTTCTAAAACTCATAAAAATGGACAGTACTTCATCCAAAAGTGTCAACCTTTCCATTGCTTCTGAAAGCCCTTGTTTTAATTTCAGGCTATCAACCTCAGATGCTGGTGAAAGGTGCTAGGTCGGCATCTTGAGAAACCGAAGTGTCCCGGAAGCTGTGAGAGCCCGGAAGTAGCCCATGTTTCTATTTATTTTGGCAATTTTAAACTATTAAGATCTAGAATCCATGTCACAGTTAAAATTTCCCCAGGCACTATGGAACAAAATCCCGTATTACATTTGATTTTAACTGGTTGAGGGAAAAAATGGTGGTTTTTCTGAAAAGTTCATTGTATGACCCTGAAATAAATATCAACATTTATGTGGAAGAACTGGACTAACCATTTAAATCCCAATTATCCACAAAATAAGATATTCTCCCAGGTGGAAGGAATCTTAGACAACTGAGTTCTCTTCTACCGTATGTTGGAGAACTTGGGCTTGGCATTATTGGCAATAGAGATACTTCTCCTCCATTTTGAGCACACACACGCACACACACACACACACACATACACTTATACGTATATGCATGCACGAACACAGATATATCTATATAAATTGTCAATAAGCCCTCGCAACAGCAGTATGGGAGAGCATCACCATATGGATGGGAGAGTTGTTACCATGTTGGGAGATGAGGAAACTGAGGTATAGGCAGGCTGGACAATTTGCCCATGAGAAGGCAGCTAGTAACAGCTTTGCTGTTCACTGAGGCCGTCTGATGGTACTCTGTGTTCTAAGTGATGATCCTATCCTGCTTCTCCAAATTGTAAGCTCTATGACTTGTCTAGACATCTACAGTCAATTTGTTAGAATTGTGTGTTTTTACTAGTTTTAAGCACAATTACCAATTTTCACTAACAGACACACTTGAAGCTGAAATGTGGGGGTTGTGAATAAGAATTAGCATGCTACGTGCTCCAAGAAAACCCTGAGTGGATGGGTGATATTCCCTGTGAAGCATTTAGCTAACCACAACTGTTACATTGAGTCCCTGAGCACTTTCAATGTAAGCCTAAGAAGGACATTCCAAATTTGCGAGATGTCAGCAAACCTCTTCTCCCTTTCCTGGTTTGTTCTGTGATTGCCTTGCTATCCTTGGTAGGAAAGGAGGAATCATTTAGGCTCAAGAGTTTTACTTCCTTTTTGTGGTCTCTCGTTCTACTAGAGTGAGTTTGCCTATATCACTCACTTATCTATCCAAGCATTTATCTCTCTGTCCATCCATCTGTTCATCCATCCATCCATCCACCCATCCACCCATCTCCCATCTGTCCATCTATCTATTCATCCATGCATTCTTTCATCCATCTGGTATACCTCGCAGTCCTTGGGTATTACTACTAAAATGAAAGGAAAGGACAATGTTTGATTATGTTTTCCTGATCCCTATTACATGGCAATGACATGTTGGCATGTTAAGGATTGCTTTTAAATGGATAAAACACATTTCAAAAAGAAATGCATCCTGGATTGAGGTCTAGGACTGTGAGAACTTATTTTTAGCTAGAAAACCCTATTGATTTCACTTTTCCTAGAATGAAGTTTATAATTAGATACAACCACCCAAACCTTTCCCCAGGGCATAAACTCTGAATGCCTTTGCTGAGATATGGTCTGCAGAAGAGCTGTCTGTGTCTGAAGGCCCTCCGAAAATAATGTGGCTTTAGTGTCAGCTTTTGCCTGAGGCTGGCCCCAAAGAGTGCTGTCTTAGCAGAATGTAGTATCGCCTGATAATCTAGGATCAGTTTGCAAAGATACCAGAAGTAGGTTAGCTTTCACTGGGGCTTTTAACACATACCTCGACCTAAACCTTTTGATCCTACTTTGAGCTCCGAATATCTCTATAATATTGAAGAAATACAAGATTTTCAGTGAGCCTTGGAGAAAAGGTGATCTGGGAGTAGAAAAAAACCATCAGGAACATGAAGGACTAGGCAGGACTTCTTGAAGTAGGTTACCTAGGTGAAGTAGGTTACCTACTGTGGCTTTGGTCATTTTACCACCTCAAAGGTCACCAGGAGCCTGGCTAAGGACTGCTGCCTTTTACACTCTCTTAGAGAGGGGACTCACTATTTGGATAATATTGAGATTTTTGCTTTCTGCTCCATGAAGATCTTGCTTGCACTGATTAAATCAAGGGAAGGAAGGGCAAAGGTCACCGTGACCCACTTCCTGCACGTTGGATGTCACCTTCACCTGCAGAAAACGCAGCTTTTCTGATTGCATTCACAACCTTTCTTCTGACAGAAAAGTATCAGATTCGGGGGTCACTTCCCATGGCCAGTTCTACTCCCCCCCTTTCTTTGGTATTTGATTCACTTTGACAAAGTTTTGTTGTCCGCCCAGAAGAAGCTTAGAAACCAAGAACATTTTCACCTATGTCCAGATCTCCTGGTCTTTAAAACAAAGAGACAGAAGCAAATGGCTTCTAAGGCCTTTGCCAGCGCAAAAAATAGCATGGTCCTAGGAGGTTTCTAATGAAGGAGACGCTCATAGGATTAAGTTCTCAAGATCTCTCTCTCTCTCTCTCTCTCTCTCTCTCTCTCTCTCTCTCTCTGTGTGTGTGTGTGTGTGTGTGTGTGTGTGTGTGTGTGCAGGAAGAGTGAAGTAGTGAGGAAGAGAAGGGAGAGAACAGATAGATGGATGGTTGAAAATAATATGTTTTTCCTTAGGAGAAGCAATCAAATGATATAGGTTGATATCAGATATATTCATTGTGGGATAGTTGCTATCCTGAACCCCTAAATTCATGCATATGATCTCAATTCCTAGTATCTCTAAAATAGAGTACACGTAGATACATAGTATGATGGAGGCCATCAAATTCAAATGAGTTCCTTAGGGTAAGCCCCAATGTAGTCTCACTGATACCCTAATGAAAACAAAGTGGTCACTAAGGAAAGATCGTGAAGACACAGGAGGGGGCCCCTCCAAGGGACTGACACCTTGAATGTAGATTTCCACTCTTGAGAACCACAAGAAAAGAAGTGCTTCTGTGGGTCAAGCCACTCACTCTGTAGTCTGTGATACTTCGTTATGTCAGCCATAGCAAGCTAATACATCTTTTATGTCTGATACCAAAGTACAAAATAAAAGTTCAGAGACCTTTGAAAGGTTACCTCACAGGCGTTTATGTAAGTACAGGATGCTCTTTGGCCTAAACCCTGGACTTGACTGAGGAACAGAGTCATGTATGAAATCCAGGGCAGAAATCTGGGAACGACTATGGCATAAACAGGTCGCTGTGAATCTGTGTTAATATTTAACTCTGAACATATATTTACATGGGCGATTCTTCTCTAATAGATTTGTGCAAAATTTAGCATGCGCGCAGAAGACGCGAACTTTATTTGCATATTTTTTATTCTGATTTGGTTTTTTGAAGAAGGGGGTGCATCTCGTTGGCATGTTTTTAATTTTTTTTTTTTTTGCTGTTGTTGTTCTTGGTGTTCTGTCCTTGTCACTCTGTACTTTGTGATGTTAGATTTTCCTTTCCAATTCTTTCCACAATCCGTAGTAGCTTATTTTTCCTTCCATCCCAGGCATTCCCTAGCTCAGCTGGGGCTACCCTTCCTCATTTCCTCTAGAGCTTTTCTGAGTTGCACTCTGCGCCTCTCTTATTCTTGCCTCTGCCACTTCCCCTTTGGCCTCTGTTCACAATTCCTAGCTTCACGCTGCCTCCTCCTCTCCTCTGATTTGCTGAGTCGCCTCTGGCCCCTCCTTCCCTCCAGGGTGTGTCTTTGGCTCACCTCTCCTTCTCCTTTGAGGCTTCATTTTCTTGTTCGTGGATAGGGGCTGGGACTGCAAACATCACAAAAATAATTGCATTGAGAATAGATGGTTCCTGTGCCAAAGACAGTCTTTGAGTCTAGCAAGCAGGCCTGGGCTCCCCAGAGAAAAGGAGCCAGGCTTGCAGAGGGGTCTACAACTCAGGCACCGGAGCTGGCATTACAGAGCCTTGGGCCTTGCCTCTCATACCCACATCCTCTTCAACTAGAACGAATGAACACTCCTTTGCTCTTCATTCACACACACACACTTTCTGACTCCCGTGCCTGCTGTGTTCTGTGTACACCCACCAAGGCCTGGACAGTCCCCTGCATCCCTTAGGTCACTCACTGGGGTGATGTCTCCCCTAAGACGCCAAGGTCCTCCTCCAGCCTCAGCTGTGGTTGAGGACCAGGAAACACACAGGTGTCACTGTGAACGTTTAGGTCTCTTATTATTGTGTCTCTGCACAATGCTAGCTTTGCTTCAAGGATAGAATCGACATGTTCACTTTTTTCTTTTTTTCAGCAGGACTCCTCAGAATATCCGAGAGAGGGCTGTTCTTTCTTCCCCTTTCCTTCTCTTCTCCTTATTTCTATGTAAAGACTATAATTTTACTTAGGCTCTGACATATTCCTTCTTTCCTTCTTTCCTTCCTTCACTAACAAGTATATAAAGTAGCCAACATGCATTGATGTTTTATGTGTTTCTGATTACACAGATGGTGCTTCTGAGGTTGCTTTACAATAAATGCTTGGACAAAGCATGCCTTGCTTTTTGACCACTAGAAACATCTAAGCATTTCTACAGCCAGAGTATGTCCATTTTCAGTGTGTCCTTCTCTTTCATGTACACTTACCACCATGAATTTCAAATAGGTAGAACCCCAGGACTTACAAGATTTTGTTATTAGATACACTTATGGCAGATGTTAATCTTGTCTGACAGTTACTTGGTGTAGGCACTCCACTTGTACATGGAATATGTCTAAGAGTATACTAACTTATTGAATTCTGACAACTTGTGCACTATATGTGATCGTTACCACACTGAGAACTAAGACTTGGGATGCTATTTGGCAAAGAGGCCTCATTGGGCAACTTGAGTTTTGACAGGTTTAGTCCTTGTTTTCCACCATCTTTCAAGTGTCAGATTGTCCAGGGCAATGAAAAAGATAAATTGCAGTAGCGAGTGATTGGAAGGATGGATCTGTAAGCCATCCAATTGGTGGCATTGGAGCCCTTTGACCTGTCATCTAGGAAATATAGGACAGAATTTCCATCTGCGTCCCACGTACCCCCCCCCCCCCCATGTATGAAAGAACACTCAAGAATGACTGCATCCCAACCACACACACGTACCTTCTGAGTCTTGGGCATGTCAGTGTGGCGCTGGGCACGGATAGAGCGGGCTGATTTCGTAGGCTTGAGGGGAGCACAGTACATCTCCAGCCTTCTCAGATCACAGCTCCGGAAGCAGCACTCATCCACGATGCCTGTCTGAGGTGCCCTCCGAATGCTGGAGCCGTAGCCTGTGGGCTTGTCTGCACAAAGCAGAGCGGTCCTGGAGTTAGACAGAGCTGCCTGCATCCACAGAGCCCCCATTGAATCCCAGATGCCTCTCTTTTAACTACATCAAGTCTCTACTACTCCAACACGTCACCCTTTTCCTGAACTATCTCCAGCAATATCTGATCTATTATGCTCCATTAGATTCCAGTGTGTTTCCTGGAGTTAAACTACACTCCTGCAAGAACTCATTCACCAAACACTTTTGTTTGTATTGACTCTGACCATGTTTCCAACAAACTGTATTGGAGGATCTTGTTTCTGTCCAGTCCCATCACTTCTCTGTCTATTGTCTTTGCTGAGAGACCTTTAGAAGTGCTACCTAAAACAAAATTACAGATCAAGCTTCTTAAAATTTTGTAAACATACCGTTTCATTGTTAGATTGACAAGTTAATTGTACATATTGGGAGGGTACAGTATGATACTTTGGAATACATATATACTATGTAATGATCAAATGAAAGTATTTAGATTGTTCATTATCTCAAACATTTAAGCAAGAACACCATGATCCTGGAAAAACTGAGTCTCCTTAATGGCATTAGTAAAGACATACAGTTTTTGTACACTGGTCATCTCAATTGTTCTGAACAATTTCTATCATAAAATCAAATCGCACATAGGCAAAATTTGAAGTCTAGAAATATATCCTTATTTTATTGATGAGAACCCTGAGGCTCAAGGGTTTGAATGGCTTGACGAAGGTCATTCATGCAGTAATTGGTGGAGTCAGGATTTTAACTCCAATCTACTCGCTGTTACACTCAAGAGCTTTACGGAGCCCAGAAGATATCGGTGTGTAACTCCAGAAAAGTCCCCGAAGCTCTTTCTTGCTCTTTCTTGCCAGAATTGAGGATAAGATGAAACAACGTGTTAAATAAAATAACGCACAGTGCCTGGTACAGAAGAGATCTTAACTACGCATCTTTTTCAAGGTCTTAAATGATCAATGGAAAACTATCATTACCATTGACCATACCCAGAAGCCAAGAAACTCACAACTGATTACAATACCAGTGACACGAGGCTTGCACACCACCCCAGAAAGTGTGGCACAGCCATTTCTGTTTCCTCGGAGTATAACGATTGGGCTGGTACAGAAGGAACTAAATGCCAGTGGGAACACTGATATCCAACATCTTTTGATACTTACAAACCGTTAGAGCTCTTTACTTGGCTAGGTCTTGGTTTGATTGGATTATGTTTTTGACCACACTTTTACTGGCTTTCAGAATTCAGAAAAGGTCAAGCAAGCTTACATAGACCTTGACATACACAAAAATTATCCCTTTTTTGGCACCATAGGACTTTTGTTAAATCAAATGTTGTCTACGCAGTAGTGTATCAAACATACAAAACAAGAAGCTGGGCTGTCTTAGACAGGGGAATATGATTTTGATCTGTTCCCATCTCCGTTATGTCCACTGGGAGGTAGGCTACTTCATGAAAGAAACGTGTGAAGCACTGACCTCTAAGAATCCAATTGACAACCTGATATATGCTTAATCTTAATTCCGGGCCCAAGAAAGGCATGACATTAAATAAAGTCTTAAAGTCACATAAACCATGACACAATAAGTAATGTCACAGTTTTCATCCATATTTCCAGCTTCCTTGTTGAGGGGAGAGCAGACCCAGGGCCGTAGTCTGCTGTCACCGTCTCTCTTGTTTGGCTGCCTCCCTGCTCCAAAGGCCAACTGTTTTATGGAGTTCTCTAAGAACCCAAATGTTTTCCTGATGCTTGGCACAGCAACCTTGTTGCTGCTTCCTCACACAAGGAAGGTTTATTCTCAGGGCGGCTGGAGATAGGAACTTTGTGAAGGTTCCTTTGCGGTCTCTCTAGGAAGGAAAGGTCTGCGGCCGCTCTCCCTCATGGTAGAGCCTGTGGGCTTCTTGTGGTTATAGGCTTGGGGAGGGACCAGGCAGCTGAGCTCAGTGGAGTATCAGTAGGGCTTTTACTTGCCATTGGAGGGGAGACTAACATGGACATAGACTCTGGGCTTTTGCCTCCCAGCCAGGCCCTGGCAAGTTGAAACTCTACTGATCCCCTGGGCAATGCAATGTTTTTTGTTTTCTTAGTTTTTTAAATAATCTTTTCCTGGGACTATAAATTCGAGGAAAGCCACAAATGGATGTGCATGGCTCTCGTAACTCACGAAGGACTTCTACATAGTTTCTATCTGGCTAGCCAATTAGGATCAGGGGATGCATTTGGGTTCCCTTTGCAGGTGGGGAAAAGGAGAGCAGGAACCTGTCTCTTGGTTGTACCTATTACAATAGTAACCTTCAGGTAATTGCTGTCCTTTGTCTATATATGCATTTCTTAGAGAATATGCATAAAGAATCACTTGCTGATTATGGAACAGTTGGTTGATAATTGAGAGTAGAGTTGCAGAAATTCTAGAAACTTCCAAACCTGACCAGTTCAGATACAGCTATTTTCACAGCTCAAACTTATGAATTAAAAGTGGAAAGGAGTGGATTGGGGATTCTAGGACCTATTTAAAATTTCTATTCCAAGCACTTCTCAATCTTAATTCTGTGATCCAAGCTTGCTCCCAGGAAAAGATGCTAGCCATTATCTTGGGAGAGCAAAAAGCATTCCCCCATGCACTGCTTGACCCTTCTTGGTGACTCTCAAGAGCCATGAGACCACCACAGCTCCATTTAATCTTCTGAAATAGACAATAGCCATCACCACAGCCAAGAAGAGCACACTCTGTGGTACCCAGCTTGCTGCATGTCTCAGAAGAGCTTGGAGTTTGATGTAGTTTATTCTAAAGGGACCTGTGCTCTCCAGCCCACAAGCTGAAGGATTCGAAGCAGAGAGCTTTAGGATTTTTATATAATGTTCTATTAAGGAGTTTGATTTTATCTTGTATATGCATCTTTTTGGAATGTTATTGGAGTAGGGATATACATGGGAATTTTCCCATGAACCAATTTGCTCACGCTGTCAATTCTAGGGGAATGTTTTCGTTTGTCAATTCATGATGGTTACAATGGACTCATACTTTATTCAGGATTTATGAATACAACAAATGTTTACCTATTGCTTTTTAATTAATCTTTTGAAGTATCCTAAAGGCTTGATTTCAGCAAGCATTACTTCTCTGTAATCAAGGGACCATTTTAGGTTTTCTCTTCAACTATCTCATATAAGTCTCTTTTTTAGAACCACAATAAAAGTATTTACTGTTCGGGTCTAAAACAGGAAGCCTTGGGCAATACAGTTTACCAGCCAGGCATTCAAGCCATCCTCCCCAGCATGTATTGATATAAGTATTATTTTAATTACTTAAAAATTTGCTGCAAGTTTCAGTCATTTGATTATTTTTTTTAATGAGATAGAACTGGTTGCTACACCACTGCTTATAAAAACTCCTTGTAATATTTTTATTCTGATTGGTAGAATCAGAATTATCAGGAAAGCAGAAAACAAAATTGTGTTACCATAAAAAGACTTTAAACAATTTGAAGAAAAATGTTAAACAGACTTTTTTTGGAATGTAGTGAACTCCATGCTGCAGGAAGCAGCTAAGTAAAGACTGTACAAATACCTGTCCCTGACCTTAGGGGCAGATCCTACAGTGGACAGTGGGTGGCTATTGTGTTTCTTTTTATTTCGGAGTTTTTCTAGAAAAATCTTGGCTAAATATTCAGCATAGTTGGGAAACACATTGTTTTCAAGAAAGAGTTTCACATATTTTTAAACTTAGCAGATGGACATTTATTTTCTAATTATCGTTTGTGTTCTCCAGAATGCTCACAACACTTCCCTGATTTTATCCAATGCAACAGCAAAAGACAGGTGACCAGGACAGTCCTCTGCACAATGAGACATGATTGGAGAATTCTCTTACTGCCTACACACTTAACCGTTGGACTATGTAGCATTCTGCAGATGTTTTGATGACAAAGTCTTAACATTGAAAATTTATAGTAACAAACTTATTTTGTCAGTGTCTTGGTTCAGAGGTCGTCTAGCATATAGATCAAAGGCAGCTTAGCAGACAAGCTGGTCATCACTTAACCCAGACTTTGAGTCCAGTAGACATAAGGTTTAGGCCTAACACATGGCTCTCTTTTAAGCATGGGCCAACACACAGTCTTCAAGTAGCTGAAGAGCTGACTTCTATAATAGCAGCAGTTCCCTTTAAATAATGCGTAGTCACTATAGTAATTCAATAATCTGCAGAGCAAACTTGCTAGTTACAAGGGTTTGGGGCAGAACTGTGGTATCATCAAAACCACACTAATTAGCAGAGTATCACATTTGGACAGGGATGCAAGTGAGTCACTCCCCTCCATCTCTGATGAGACGGATGCACTTCGGAGATTTAGCTGTGGTCATTATTTCTGGAGCCCAGAGTTCTGCCCTTTCATCATGAGTAAAACTACCTCTACCTGTCTGCAGGGATTTGTGCTCCTCATCAGTTTCTGGAAATGTGCTTGAGACATCGCACTAACTCTGACTCTCTGTGAAACTTCCCCTTTTCTTGCTGAGAAAGCTTTTAAAACTCCCCGTTGGAAGGAGTGAACATTGATTTGTGAATCAATATTTAAATAATGACAAATGCAAACACTTTCAAAATAGGAACATCGCCTGCTTTTGAAGATCTATACTTGTTCTTCTCTAGGTTACAAAGAATACAGCAATTCTCTCAAACAGTTGCTGATAGGAGGAAGAGGTGCCAAAGTAGATTCTATGTACTATTAATTAATTAACTAATTATCAAAAATTGAGAACAGGGCGAAGAGGCAAGAAAATTCAAAATGGGGCTTGGAGGCTGTTTCTAGAAAATTCTCAGTCACATGCATGGTAGAGAACATAAATGGAATTACTAGATAATAAACAATCTGCCCTTAACTATTATTAGCTGAAGATTGATTATACAACCAAATACCATAGTTAAGATCTGTAGGAATCAGAACATTGGTTTTCTTATACAAATTGTTTTTTTTGCTTGTTT